GGGCTCACACCCCACTCTGATGTGTCTTCAGTGGGCTCACACCCCACTCTGAAGTGTCATCAGGGGCTCACACCCCACTCTGATGTGTCTTCAGTGGGCTCACACCCCACTCTGAAGTGTCTTCAGTGGGCTCAGACCCCACTCTGAAGTGTCGTCAGGGGCTCACACCCCCACTCTGTCTTCAGTGAGCACACCTCCACTCTGGTGTTTCTCCTGGAAACCCAGTTCCTGGTCAGTCTGCAGAGTCAAGAAGTGTTACACACCCACGAAATGATAGTTTTTTTTTTCCTGTTATGATGTATTGTACTAGGGCCATTAATGAATACGAGAACTCTGTAAAAGCACCATACAAGTGAAACTTAATTTGGTTTTCTTACGTACTGAGTAATGATCATCTAAAATGTATTAGTTTAAAATTTGTTTCTCACATTTTCATCCTGAAGCTGTGTGTTTCTCCGTGTGTTTTCAGATAATCACAAGGACTGTTCGGGAGTGTCCTTACACCTCACGCGTCTGCCGTAAGTGCTTCTGGCTTTCCTAGAGACCCACAGTAAGGGTCTTTGAGAGCTTAAAGTGGAATGTTCACTGTATTGGTTATAAATAAAAAATGAACCAAACTTGCTGGCTTGAAACAACACGTCTTAATCATCTCAATTTCCTGTGGCTGGTGATGGGGCCAGAGCTTAGCTGGGTCTCACATGGAGGCTGTAGTCAAAATCTCTGCTGGGGCTTCTCCCAGCTTAAGGCCTGACCAGGCAGGAGCAACTTCCAAGGTCACTCACACAGTTTTTGGCAGGATCCGGTTCTTTGCTGGCTGTGGGCTTAAGGGATACCCTCATTTCTTCCTGTAGCAGGTACTTCCATCCTGGAAAGTCAGCCAAAAAAAAAGCAAAACAGGGCGTGCATTCAGAAAGGAAGACAGAGGCTTTTCACAACCTGATCTTAGAAGTGTGGCACTATCACATTTCACATATTCTATTAGTTAATTTTTATATTAATTTTGGTCCACATTTGAGGGTGGAGATTAGAGAATGGCGTGTACGTCACAGCTAGGAATCCTGAGAGCTGTATTACTCCGAGTTTTCCAAAGAACCTGAACCAATAGGATATACATTTTAATATATTTAGAAAGAAGGAGAAAGACAGAGAGAGAGATTTATTAGAACCGATTGGCTCACACTATTGTAGGGCTGTCAAGTCCGAAATCTATAGGGCCAATTGGAAATTCAAGAAAGCATTGCTATTGCATTCATGGGTCTGAAGGCAATCTGTAGTCAGAATTCCTTTCTTTGGAGGGAATCTCAATCTTTTAAGGTTGGATAAGGCCAACCCACAAAAATCTGCTTTACTCAAAGTATTATTTAAATGTTAATCACATCTAAAAAATAGCTGTTTAAAACCCAGCAACGTCTAGACTGCTATTTGAACCACCAGGTGCCATAACCTAGCCAGCTGCACATAAATTAGCTATCACAGGAATTGTTTTGAGCCTGCCATCGCAGGAAGCAATTTACATACACCGAACCTCCCTACACCTCCGTAAGTTGACCTAATTTTCATGGACTAGACGTGCACCACATGTACGTATCAGCACAGCAGGCCTCGTTCCTTAAGTTGACCTCCTCCGTATGTTGACCAGTTTGTTACAGTCCCTTGGGTGGTCAACTTACAGAGGTTCACCTATATTTATATGTATATGTATAAAGTATATAAGTACATATCCTGCCACTTTTTCAATATTATTTCCGTTTTCGCAAGAATCAAGTTTTATAAATGAGCGTATTGACGTATAGTTCATTTTCCCAAAAGAGTAGCTTTTACTTTTTCAGATAATTGAGAGAAATATTCCTTTTTCTGCAGACAGCCTTTAATTGCTGGCATGTACCTAATGATGTCTGTGGATACTGTTATACCAGCAGGAGAGAAAGGTGAGTCGGGGGTTTTCGTATCTCTCACCAGCTTATTACCTAATCTGCAGGGACAAACTTACAGTACATTTTCTATAAACTTTTAACATGACTACTATTCTTGAGTCCCTGAAAAATAAACCAGCGCTTTTTTGTATGATTCCAAGCCAATGGTTTATTACTTTTCCATTTATTGAGATGCTAAGAATGAGCTCCATGGGTAGAGAGAAGGTTATGTAATTAGAGAATAAATCTTGAGTATTGTAAGAATCAATCATCTGTTCCTTAGATGCAAAAGACAGACTAAATAATGTGCAGTGGCATAAACCACTCCTAAGAAAGGCTTAAAATCAAGAGGCGGGCCAACCTCACATCGGTTTAGCCTTTGAAGTTAGACCCCTGGGTTTACTTCTCTACTTGCAAAATGGGGATGGGCTGATTCTCCCAAGCGGACAGAAAGCTATGACGATACGTATAAAATTATTTATCAGTAATTTTCTAGAAAAAGTGCCATATTTGAAATTGTTCATTTGTTTTGACTGGAATCTGTCAAAGTTAATAACCAGCATGGTCTCTTTGTTACTGTTCATCCATCTATTATAAAAGGAATGTGTATTGAATGGCTACCGTGTGTTAGGTTGTAAGGGGGGAAGTATATGAAACGGTCCTTCTCAGCAGAAACTGCCAAGCCAATGACCTGACGTGTTTGCATTAAATTTTTCAAAAATTATGTTCAAAAAAAAATTTAACCTTTTTTCAAGATAGAGGTAACAAGTTAAGCCTATGTTTTTACCGACAGGGTATTTTGCCGTGGAATCTTAATCATCTTAGTAAGTGGTGGCACAGAATGAGTGCTGAGGGTCTGGACTACATGAATGCAGGTTTATTTCATAAGAAAATCTCAAAGCCTGGCATCCAGGGACTGGCACAATCTTAGAGAAGAATAATGTCATTTTCTAGTTGACTAGTGACCTTTCCCTGTGTTTTCGTTTCTCTCAGTGGTGAATTCCGACATCTCATGCCATTATAAAAATTACCCAATGCACGTCTTTGCCTACAGAGTCCACACTCACCGTTTAGGTAAGAACTTAAAACGTGTTAAATTATAAATATTTACTCTTGTGTTCACTAGTGCTATAAATGTAAAATGTAAGTGACACTCGACCTTAAGTCCCTTTCAGTGAAAGTTATTTTATACAATACCATGAAAATTTTTGTGCTGTTTCATTATATTATTTTTAAGATATATTTTAAGATTATTTTAAGTATTTGGGGTTCTGAAAAATATTCATATTTCATTGTACAACAGAATAGCGACTGTGTCTTCTTTCTTATAGTACCTTATTATATCATGTGATTATAATGTGTGTCTATTACAGGTAAAGTCGTCAGCGGATACAGAGTAAGAAATGGACAGTGGATGCTGATTGGACGACAGAGTCCCCAGCTGCCACAGGTGTGGGGAATCTTACTAACTTTGAGAGAAAAAATACCAACCAGCAGAAAGTAATTTTTAAAAATCTTTACATGACCCTTGTGAATTTCTCTGGAAGCTCACACTCTCTGAGTGTGCCTTGCCTGTGAACATGGGCTGTAGGGACTCCCTTCTGACGGCTTCCAGCCTGGCGCTGTCCTTATGGCTCTCTCAGGGTGAGCCAGACGTGTCCCTGGCACCTTTTCTATCATCCTTTAGTCAAAGGCAGGGTTTCAGGTAGAGAGTGTTACATTCGTTCTGATTTTTATGGGATGCATTTGCTAGTAGTATTTATTTCAAAGTCTGGTAGTCTTGACATAAAGTAGAACTGATTAATTAATGTAAGCTTTTCATCCTCCATGTGTGTGTGTGTGTGAGTGTGTGTGTGAGGGTGTGTATGATCATGTGCAAGGGTGTGTGAGTGTGTGTGAGCTTGAGAGAGTATATGCGAGTGAGTGTGTGCAAGTGTGAGAGAGGGTGTGATAGTGTGTGAGAGTGTGTGTGAAAATGTGTGTGTGAGCGTGTGTGATTGTAAGAGTGTGTGTGAGGGTGTGTGCGAGTATGTGAGTGTATAAGTGTGTGAGTGTGTGTGAGTGTGAGAGTGCATGCAAGTGTATGCAAGTGTGTGAGAGTGTGTGTGTGTGCGAGTGTGTGCTTGAGAGTGCATGTGTCGGTCTCCATCCTCTCTGTCCAGAGTGCCCAGCTTCACATTATCAAAGCATGTGGTTCTGTATTTTGTTAATCATTTTACTCAGTCGCTGTGTCTGTCCGCAGGCTTTCTACCCTGTGGAACACCCCGTAGATGTGAGTTTTGGTGACCTACTGGCTGCAAGATGTGTGTTCACTGGCGAGGGAAGGACAGAAGCCACACACATTGGGTATGATTCTATGTATTTCACTGCTGAGAGAGATTTCATTAGCACAGGCGTGATCATAGGTGACAGCCATCTTCGGGAATAAATCACACGTGCTTTTGCCCTGTCATGAACACCTGAAATGAGCAAGACAGTTCTGTCATTTCAGAACTCACTGACATGGATAAACCCTAGAACGTGCTCAACTTTGATGCTGCTTTTTTTTTTTTTTTTGCTTCTTCAAGAAAGACCTTCCCCCTCCCACCTCTACATATCGTAGTTCCCACAGGAGTACACAGCATTTCCTCAGACTCATCTTAAGAAAGAAAACATCCCACTTATGGAATTTTCTACTAGGTGTTCTTTTGTCCTGTGTTCAAGTTTATGCAAATGTGTGAGTTGCCAACTTAGTAGCCCCCGTTAAATACTCAGAACTGTAATTGTTTCTGCCTGTTAAACCTTCTACATATTCAGTGATTTCCAGTCGTTCAGTCTACACTTTTCCAAAAGAGAATGTCAAGACTTTTAAATAATCTTCAAAACACCAAGACTCCTTCAAATAATTATATTTTATAACACTAAGGAAAATCTTCACAGCACTATGAAGTCTTCCACAAAAGCCTACCAAAATAAAAAAGAAAGAAAAAGTTTCTTATCATGCTTTTTTGTTGGAAATGAACCAAGATGCCTCCTTTTCATATTAAACTGGGTTTTAAAACATTGACTGATGCCACCTGGAAGCTAGAATCGTAAACCTTTCATCTTTTGGTTAAAGTGACAGAAAGTGGTCATCTAAAAGTCAGCACTAGAAGATGTTCCTAGGGTGACAACACTTAACTGGTGGCTGTTTAGAGAAAGGGAGAGGTGGCGGTGCCGGGACAAAGGAGGGCCTTTGAGGTGGTGGATTTTCTTATGCACTTTAACATGGCTTGTATGTTAATAAGCATCAGTTTTAAGGCTAAAGTTAGAATAATTAAAAAACATTATTAAACAACAGTTTCCAACAGCTTAGCCTTTGGACAATTTTGATAAATCTGAGGGAGATCCTGAAGGAGACAATGAAATTATTGCATTCTGGGACGGCAGTGGTGAGAAGAGGGCGGGGAGAGTAGCTGTGATGACAGTCCAGCGGTTAATTCACTTCTCATCAGTCATTACCCGAGGTTCACCAGGCAGAGGGCATCGACCAGCTGCAGCCATTCTGTCAGGGCAGAGCATGGGAACGGGCCTTCAATGCTCTTGTTCTATGAACCTGTGAAGTAAGCACAGATAGTAGTGAAAAATTCCTTCCAACACATTACGTGTATGGATTTATAAGTTTTAAGTGTATAAGAAGCAGAATTTTGGCTCGGCGCCTATGGCTCAACCGGCTAAGGCGCCAGCCGCGTACACCTAGGGTGGTGGGTTCAAATCCCCAGCCCGGACCCGCCAAACAACAGTGACGGCTGCAACCAAAAAATAGCCGGGCGTTGTGG